CTAATGGCCAATCTATTCTCATGGTGGCCACCCAGGTGCCTACAAGAAATGGGCTTGACCACGAGACTGCAGAGGAAGGCACGTTTGGCAAATCCTCACCATGATCAGCTCCCACCCGCAAACCTATGTCCCCACTGTGGAAGGATGTGAGGATCCAGAATTGGCCTCCACAGTCACTTATGGACACACTGTTAAGACCATATTCATGGAAGACAATCTTACTTAGCTATGAATGATCACCAAAGAAGATGAAGAATAAATTGATGGGAGTGAACAACACACAGTGAAAATATATCCAGTGAAGTACCCCAGACTTCTTCTTTTGGCTGGCAATGTAAATTCTCAGCCTATTGCAACGTATTACGGTGAACTGAAATTATTTCTTCCATGAAGATCTTAAGAGACATATCATTTAATGTTTGCTGCAACAGAAACAGTTGAGCACGCCGACTTTCAGGGCAGTAATTCAACCAGGATTTCTCCAGAGCCCACAGCTGTGAATCAACCCTGTCATCAGGCGTCAGGGTTACAGCAGCAGCACATGGATTTAGGATAGTGAGTCAGAACAGAGCCTCAGGGCAAAATGCTTCCTGTATGGATCCCTCAGCTGGGAGTACTGGCAACCTAAGAGTGCAGTGCATAGGATGTGCCTATAATAGACAACTGACAGTTGCTGTGAAGGTAAAAAGGGAGAGGTCTAATGGCATCTGCAAAGTGTAACACATTGTAATGAGCTAGATCATGGCTTGTGACATAGACAGGGGGGGGGCTCATTCACACTGGGGTTTTAAGGTGGGTTTGAAGCTGCTTGTGTTTGTTTCAGTTTTGTGGCATCCACACAATATATTCTTTATCCACGTTCCAGCCTGCACTGCCTACCTCATCCCCCATTTGAATTTTCCTGATCTGCAAATAACTTGATAAGGGAAGAAAATCCAGTATAAAGTCACATTACCTGACTGCAGATGCATTGCATTTTTGTAAAAGAAAAGAAAAACAGTAACTATAGGAAAAGAACCAAAATATCACCATTTGCAAACATTGATAACTTTAATAGTTTTGTTTTTTTTAGAAAAGCACAAATATAACTGTACTTTAACAAAGGCATTTTCACCCTACCCAATTAATAATAATAATAATAATAATAATAATAATAATAATAATATTATCAATAATTACATGTATAGTGAGGCTCATAAACAACAAGGAGCACTGTAGTAGTGAAAAAGTAGTATACATTTGGTTTGCTTAAACCAGTTCAAGACTTATACAAGATGTTATGCAAACCCCGGGTAAAATACAGACGCATTCTCAATGTTTTGCCCTCTGTTCAGAAACCCCAGTTATCAAGAACATGTTTTATTACAAGAATAAGTTTCTGTAGAACAATTCATACAAGATAAAAATGGTACAACTATTGACCTTTCCAAAGAAACCAAGCCGTATAAAGGAAAAGAGTATCAAAGAGAGAGAGAGAGAGAGAGAGAGAGAGAGAGAGAGAGAATATAAAGATTCCATCACAAGACTCTGGACAGCAGGATCTAGCTCAGGTGAAGGGAACCTCTGCTAATGCGGCTTCTCCTGAAGGATCACCTGACAGCAGCAGCACGGTGCTGAAATGATGAACTGGTAGCTGGATCTTGGAGAGACCATTTGAATTTCCCACAACGCATTGAGAAGGGGCGTTGTTGGAAATCAAAAATGGCCGCTCCAATACTCAAATTGCCTGGCCTGCATCAAAATGCTGGGCGGAAAATGTTTAAAGGTAAAGGGGGCCAGGGCAGGTGTGAGTAGTAGGCCCTCCTAGGGAGCTCCCTCAGCAACCAACTTGGTGGCACCATGCCAGTTGGCCACTCTCTAGGCTCAAAGCATCTCAGCTAATGGCATCCAGAAACTCTTCCACCTGCCTTAGAAGTACAGTTGTACCTTGGAAGTTGAACAGAATCCGTTCTGGAAGTCCGTTTGACTGCCAACATGTTTGGAAACCAAAGCACAGCTTCGGATTGGCTGCAGGAAGCTCCTGAAGCCAATCAGAAGCCGTGGAAGCCCCGTTGGACGTTTGGGTTCCAAAGAATGTTCGCAAACCGGGACACTCACTTCTGTGTTTTGATCGTTCGGGAGCCGATTTGTTCAGGAGCCAAGGCGTTTGAGATCCAAGGTACGACTGTATTAGGGGGCTGCAGCCAGAGACTTCATTGGCAGCACACGCTACAGTACAGATGACAGGATTCTTCTTTGTAGTTGAACACCTGTCACGTTAGACTACTTAAAAAAGCAGAAAGAACATGCTTTGCAAAACTGATGGCTTCTTTTGTGCAAAACCTCACAAACACCTTGACAGCTTTCAGCACATTGCAAAAGAATAGGGAGAGAGAAAGAACACACACTCACCCCAAAAAGTTCTGCAAAATAGTGAAAAATAAATAGATTAACCACCCACTTACCATAGAACGATCCACATGAGAAATTTACATCAGAATTCTGATTTGTGTCCAGAATCCCAAGAGTGCATAACCTTATGTATGCTTTGGCCCTAACGGGGCTTCCAAGCTCTGAGGAGCATACCGGTAACTGGAGTGCAAAAGAGACACCCAGTTATATCCCATACCAGACTTGTTTGAGGCTATCAAAACAACTGGCTCTACTTCTATACTGATGGCTTAAAAAACAGCCCAGTACTTTAGGCTGGTTAAAAATAACAGAGCATTTGCAGATTTATAAAAGGGGCAAATTAATACTGGAAACTTCTCTGCATGAGGAGACTCAGGAGAGCTAAAGAGCCCAAGCTTGCCATCCCCACTGTGTAGAGAGTCTCTCCACACCACCAGAGGTCACTTCTGGAACACACTGAGAATTGTCCCCACCCCGAAATGGGGGAGACTTACACAGATCAGCACCTGATCATTTCTGTTCCAGCCAACCCTGATCTCAGCAAGATCAGGGCACCTGGTTGTGAAGGCATCCGCATTCTGCAGACTCCCTACTTGTGGGCAGGCGCTCACACCCTAACACACATTTTCTGCAGGAAAGGAATAGTGATGATGGCTAAAAGCCCTGGTCTGCTTCTCTGTCAACACAGCAAAGCCTTACATGCAAGGAATAAGTGGGTAGGATTTTAAGTCACCAATGCATCCTAAGAACAATGGCCCACCTAGTCCAGAATTCTGTTCTCACAGTGGCCGGCCAGATGTTTATTGGAAGCCCATAAGCAGGGCCTGAATGCAACAGCACAGTCCCCACTTGTGACTCCCAGGAACTGGCACCCAAAGGCATACTGCCTCCAACAGGGTAACACAGACTTAACCTCCATGAATTTGCCTAACCTGCTTTGGAAGGCACTCAGATTGATGACCATCACGATTTCCTGTGCTGGTAAATTCCACAGTTTGGCTAAGCACTCACTCACACAGTATTCAAAGTTCATGCACTTAAGATTAAAAGTTTATGCTCTCACTAATAAGAAGCTGCTACAGTGCATGGTTTCATACATTTGTTCCTTATACAGCTGTGGCCATTCATCACAGCATTACAGTGGTACCTTGGTTCACAAACTTAATCCATTCCAGAAGTCTGCATTCTAAAACCAAGGCGTGCTTTCCCATAGAAAGTACAGTGGTACCTCTGGATGTGAAAGGGATCCATTCCGGATCGCATCCAGAGCAGAACACAACCTGCATCTGCGTGTCTGACGTGCGCGGGTCATGACTCACCGCTTCTGTGCATGCGCGTGACATCATTTTGAGCGTCTGTGCATGCACAAGCGGCAAAACCCGTTACTTCCGGGTCGCCGCGGAGCACAACCTGAAAATGCTCAACCTGAAGCTACCTTAACCCGAGGTGTGACTGTAATGCAAAATGGATTAATCCGTTCCAGACTTTTAAAAACAACCCCTAAAACAGCAATTTAACATGAATTTTACTATCTAATGAGACCATTGATCCATAACGTGAAAGCAATAATCAATGTACTATACTATAAAATAAGTAAGTCAGTATTGCAGATGATTAAAATTAAAATTAACCCCCCCCTTACGTGCACTGATGTCATTGTTTGGGTGCGGGGCTTTTATCCATTTCTGCAGTCACACAATCAACCAGGAGCAGAACTGAATTCCACACAGTCCCAAAAACATAGTAAGAAGCCACAGTCACAAGTCAGTCCCATAAAACAAAGAACAAGTCACAGTCAAAAAAATGAAAAAGTCACACACAAAAACAAAACAAAACAAAAGCAAAAACAAAGGCTCCAAATATCACCTCTGTGTTGTGTGGGTGCTCAGGACTCAACCACTGACAGACTCAACAGGAATCCTCTGATTAGCAGCGGGGGACTCAATTTACAAATGGAATACACTCAACAGGAAGCAAAACATGTTCAGCTTCCAAGGCAAAGCTCACAAATCGAAACACCTACTTCCGGGTTTGCAGTGTTCTACAGTCATACCTCAGGTTGAAGTAGCTTTGGGATAAGCATTTTCGGGTTGCGCGCTGCGGCGACCCAGAAGTAACAGAGCGCATTACTTCCAGGTTTTGCTGCACATGCGCAGACGGTCAAAATGACATCACGCGCATGTGCGAAAGCGGCGAATCGCGACCGTGCACGTGCAGACACGGGTTGTGTTCGCTTCTGGATGCGAACAGGGCTCCGGAACGGATCCCGTTCGCATCCAGAGGTACCACTGCATTTCCAAGTTGTTCATAAACTAAGCTGTTCTAAAACCAAGGTACCACTGTACTAGAAATGGGTAGCTCTTCATTTTCGAAGCAAAGAGATGCAGATTCAAACTGTGAGAACTCTAAATGCAAAATTAATTTTTTTCCAAAGGGTTTTGTTTCCTTTTTTAAAAAACTGAATTCATTTCACAGGCCCTCCACTTCTGTGATTACCTGCAGGACACTGAGCAAAATTACATTATCTGGGACATGATGTGAAAAACAGAACTGCTTTACACATTAATAACTCCCCTGCAGGAAAATGTGGAGAACTTATTAAGATCTTGAATATCTCTCGGATACCGCAGAGGAAGCATTCATAGGAGGGAAAAACACACAACAAATCACTGAACTAGGATGGTCAATTTCATTTGCCCCTTCCTAAGTCCATTAATTTCAACAATTCTCCTCTGAGTAGAATTTAGTCAGATATAACCCTTTGAGAGCCTTATCCTCAATTTGTCTAATTGTAAAGCCATTCATGTTGGCGGCCATCACTGCTCTTGTGGGAAGCAATACCACAGAATATTAGTAGCAGTTTGGTCTTAAATCAGTAATCGAGTTATGTGAGACCATTACTAATAATATTAGCAAACCGTGAATATGGAAAATATGGGGTGGAGAGAGATAAGAACTACTTCTCTGCCTTGTTTTCTGAAAACAGTACACTCATGCAATGCAATTACATCTCCCGCTCTTTAAAAAGACAGCCTGGTTCTTTTCTCCACAATTTGTTTTAGTCTGCTCTTTTTTTCCAAGGCTGAATGTTCTTTTAAAATTTGGTCTAGTCCGTCGGCAAACAAACACAAACACTGTTAATTGCACTTAGATTAAAACCCACAAATTAGCTCAAGCGAAGCATTGTTATCAGCAAATTCATCAAGCAGCACAGGGAGCCCACTGGGTAAAAATAAAATAAAATAAGTACAATTGTGTGTAACCATGGTGAAATGGTTTTCTCTCTTATTGACGGTGCAAAGTTTGTTTTCGCTGCAAAAATGTGCCAGAGCTGCTGAAACTCCTATGAATATCTAATCAATCTAATCATGAAGCTAGCAATAGGCTTGCAACAAAACAAAAAAAGCTCTCAGGAGCGTGAAACTAAAGTCATTTAGTTTTCATTAGTGGTTTGGAATGGGAACTGACGGGGGAGGGGTGAACTGGGGAAATTTGGGTTTGAGCAGCAGACTCACAGAATCATAGAGTTGGAAGGGATCCTGAGGGTCATCTAGTCCTATTTCCTGCAATGCAGGAATCTCAACACTCGGTCTCCCATCCAATTTGAAACCAGACCAGACCCTGCTTAGCTTTGCAAATGTGCTGCTTGAACAAATGATGACTGATGACTTGATGGAAAATAATGGTAAGGCAAGAGAAGATGTATTGCTAGTCAACTGTTTGAAAGGTAGGCCTGTTGTATAAATGGGGGGGGGGGAGTTAGACGATGCCTATAAATATTCACTAGCCGTACTGATATTTTCCTTCTACTGATACCTCTTCCATCATTTTTAGAGGTTTAACTGCATCCTCCATCTTTATCTCTGCAGTTATTTATGACAGAAGTTTCCCGGTCCAGTCCTATGAGCATTTTTCTCACCATGGGGCTTTCTCCCAGGAAGATATGTGCACAGGATTGCAGCCTCTGACTCTGCCTTCCATGCAACAACCACAGTGCAATGATCCCGAGAATCAGGCCATTGCTTATTAACAGCTTATTCTTCACAGCATTTCCAAATGCAACACAGGAAATGTTCACCAAGATTTCTACATCCACTTTTGGAAACACTGAAATATTCGACTGCAAAAAATGATAATAAATAAAAACACAAAGTGCACTTTCATAGCATTTGTCATGATTATCTTTTTATATGACATGCTAACTGAAACCATGTTGCTAATGCAGGGAGAACGCTCATTAACCTGCTTATAACAGCAGCCACTCAAGTGTGCAGAGCCAGAAAGTTGGCCAGAAAAATAATACAGACGCTCTTGAGGAATAATCACATAAGGTCTGAAATGTGGGGTGAGCTTTGGGAATGGGAAGAGGTAGATGACATATAAGCAGTACAAACGATGGCTTGGAACTGGGGCGGAGAACCTTTGGCCAGGAGTGTAGTGACAAATTTAGAAGTGCAGGGTCCCTTCCTGCTAGTCCTAGCCATGCCCCCCCACAGCTATATCCCTTCTACAATTATATAACCTTCTAAAATATTAATTTTTTAGAACTACCATTTTCTATGCATGTCCACAGGCAAATGATCTGGAGTGTTCCAGTATCTTCTTTCAGAGTGACTTGAGTTGTGTTTTCCCCCCATGAAGTTCCATTTCACAACATTCTCCTGAAACTGAAGCACCTTGTGTTCTTGGTGTCCTTAAATGCTTAGCTTGAGAGCATACAGAGGCTACAAAAGCTCCCCTTTCACGCTGACTGGGTGACTGTAGGACACTGGAGACAGGGACCCTACAAGAGGAATGGTAACAGATCGGTGACATCTCCATGGGCCACTACACCACTCCCTTTGGACCTCTATGCGCTGCAGTAGTGATGCTGATAACCAGCCGTCACTGTCTGATTGCTCTTTGACTGTGTCTGACAAGCAAGCAGGTGGGAGCAATGATGACTCAGAGGAGAAGTAGAAGGTGGCAACCACGGCAGTGAGTGTAGAGCAGTGAGTGGACAACTGGAGCCCTCCATATGGTGCTGGACTACAACTCCCATCATCCCTGTCTATTGCCCATGCTGGCTGGGTCTGCTGGAAACTGGAGCCAGAAGAATAGGTTCTCTATCCCTGGTTTAGAACAACAGCAAAAAAAAGGCCTTCTCCTAATTCCCTTTGACATGAGTTTTTATATGAATATCTCTATGGACCTGGTGAAAGAGTGGCATTGGTTTCTGAGCCACAGACACATAATAACATCTCATTCTGTTCTAGACCATCACAGACTTTGGTCAATGCAGCTGGGTTAGAAGAAGACATCAGAATCTCTCTGTGCATGGGAGAGTGGCTTTGGGGCTGTCACCATTATGTTTCCCCACGTAACCAAGAATATCTATCAATATTGTTGCAAGCCTCTATTTCATTACCAGATCCTGAACTTCCACCATGTTATCCTTCCAGACCCAGGGTTTTCAGATTTTTGCAACTGGATCGTACAACTTTCTAGACACCTGAGTCATTTTCTTTCTCCGGCAGGATGAACTGCTAGGAAAGTAACCATATCTACAAAACCAGTTGTAATATTTCAATGTGCCTTTGTAATGGACAACGAAAAAGGGCTACTCTCCACATGCTGCCTTGCCAGAACCTTCCTGCCATTTTAAAATAAAAATTCAAACCAGTTCTGCATGTCTACTTGTCCAGTGCCTACAGAGGGCAAGGAAAGATATCGCTGCAGAACCTGAGGAGGCAGGTATTCATGTACAAAGCTCCAATTCAGGAGTAATTAGATACTTAAAACCATAGAGAAATGAGATAAGCAACAAATTCACTAGCCAGCAAGCATCAGAGCCCTTGGTGAGCAAACCTGCCTTTTCTTTTGTGTGCGTTGCAGTTTGCATTATGGGGAAAGGCCGTAGCTCAGTCATGAAGCCTCTGCTTTGAATTCAGGTCTCAGGATCAATCCCTGGCATCTCCAGGTAGGGGACGGGGGAAAGTCCCTCTATCTGAAATCCTGGAGATCTGCTGAGTCAGTAAGACAATAGCGAGCTAGATGGACCAATGATCTGACAAAGTATAAATTCACTGGCTTTTCATGTTAAACTTTACATTTAATTGATTATGCTGTTAATGAGATGCTTCCTCCCCACATCACTTACAAAGGACTTCAAGGGTGGCTCCCCCCCATTTATCTTTTGGTCACCTATTGGTTAAGCTTGTTCTTAGCTAACAAGGGTCTACCTACAAATATTTAAAAAGATTTACATTTGTATATAGGCATGTGCGCATATATATATCTACATACATACACACACTCTGTGCTGATGAAACAGCAACTGTCCACCTCCCCGAGCTGTTGTCCTTTCTTCTCAGAATGTGAAGGCATACACAACTCCGACAACAACTATGTTTCCAATTGTGGCTATAATTGCAATCCATAACAAAATGGCGTCGTTTGAAGAACGGGAGGCGTCTTCAGGCTGGTTCGGCATCGAAGCAGCTGCGTGGACATTGGCAGAGGAATTAAACAAGGAGTATTCCGTACTAAAGTCCTCGTTGGGCGAATCCATGAAGGCTCCTCCCATAACTGGAAGCTGTGGAAGAAGAATTTAGAACATTAGGGTCAAGAATTGGAGGAAAAGGTCCATAAATAGATACTTGTTTGCTGTCCTCCAGGTGCTGTTGGACTACAACTTCCATCATCTGCTGTTTGTGGTGGAGTCCAGCAATATCTGGTGATATAATGGTGAGGATTGCAAAAATATACTTTTAAGAGAGGTGAAAGACATGTTTTCATGAAAAATAAATGCTATGGGTGTTTCTGTTTTGCAGTGACTTTACACTAGCATTTCTTGTAGGAGGGTAAGAAAACTGCATGTGCTTCTGGTTCTGTGCCTTAAAGCGAATACTTTAAAACTTGAAGACCACAGTGCAGAGTTTAGCAGGGCCTTCCTCTTTATGGACTGTGTCACATGGTGTTCCAAAAGGACTCCTAACATGCAGATGATGGGTTTCAAATATGTTATAGTAGAGGGGCATGAAGTGAGGCATACCTTCCAAGAGCCCTGGGAAAAAACAGGGCATCCCATTTTTTCACACGAGATCTTGGCGGCCATTTTGGGTGCTGCGGTCTCATGTGCTTTTGCCCCGAAAAAGTGTTTCCTTTGTGGTGAAAGTGAAGCATGGGTCACGTAACTTGCTACGAGCACATCCCGGAAACTGCACTTCCCAGTTTTGTGTCAGAAAAAATTGGACAGTATGGCGAGGTAACAGTAGTTAGTGGAAGGAAGTGAAGGAGAGAGGGCTAGCAAGTGGCTAATTTAGCCCATTAGTCCTGGTTTCTGAAGGCCTGATGTCCCAGGCTGGTGATTCTATCCTCAATAAAGGATAGACCTACTCTGTATGACATCAGTTCAAGAGTCATTCTTCCAGAAAGACCATTTCAGTAAACAGGCCTTGTCCAAGATAAATATTTGTTATGGGATTTCAAGCTTCTAACATAGTATCTTACATAGTTTATTGGTGGGAGGGGAAAACGCCCAGATGGAAAATGTATTCAAGTGGACACACAATTCAGCATGTCCAAGTGCCTTCTTGATCCCAGGCAAGAAACTAGTACTTTAGGGGGTGGGAATTAAGAGTCTTTTCCTTCAGATGAATTAAAATTCTAATTCAGAGCTTGTCTGGAGCCCGGGACAAATTCTGCCATGAAAGCTAACAGCTGGGCTTGAAGTTCCTATGACAGGCAGCCTCTGCCATCACCATTCCCCACAAATTCTGCAGTCAATTAAGACAAAGTTAACCATCTGATATGACAAGACCCATAATTTAAGAGAATTTTAAGAAACTTTAAGAGATTGAGCTGGGGTGCCCTCATGTCCTATTTTAAAGAGATGAGTCTTCAACTTGAAGGGCTGCTAAGCCATAAAACTCACTGAGTTAACAGAATCTACCTCAGAGAGGATTGCTGTATGGATAAAACTAGAACAGTACCCTCCATCTTGGCCACCCTGAGCTGTCTGAAAAAGGATGGGATACCACATTGCTTGGCACCTCAGTACCCAAGGGAATGTCTCCTTCCATATAATGATACCCTTGGCAATGGAGCCCCTCATCCAAGTGTCTTCTCCATCAGAAGTTGGGGGTGGCTTTGAGAAAGAGAACCTTTCTGGGTGGTGTTCTGTAAGCTTGAGAATACCAGTTACTGGAAACCAAAGAGTCAGGAGGAGTGCTGCTGTGCTCAGGTGCTACTTGAAGACTTCACATATGCATCTGGTTGACCACTGTGATAGCAGGATGCTTGACTAGATGAGCCACTGGCCCTAATCCAGTAGGCTCATCTTACATTCATTCTTACTGGGCAGTGCCCTGGTTATGAAATGCTCACCCAAGGGAAACTGGCTTGGGAGTACCTACATTGTTGTCGTTTAGGCATCAAGCGAAGCCTTTTCTGTTCTCCCAGCTTTCATGGTAGTGTTAACTTCTGTATTTTGTTAGTCATGTTAGTACATTCTCAGCTCGAGATTTTATTTTGTTTTCTTAGTGTGGTTTTGTAATACGCGGCTGTATTTTCACTTGGATGTTATGACTTACTGTGGACTTCTGCTGCATATTGTGTTTTTAAACCCAAAATGTCACACCTAAAGAATTTTAATAGGGATGGGAATTTTAATAGGGATGCAGCATGAAGATGACTGCAATGGAAAGTCCCTCCCTCTTATTCTTCCCTGTGCACCCCCTAAATCTGTTCTAGGGGTTACCCCAATTCTCTGGAGCAGATTCAGGACACACAGAGACTGAGGAATGGGGACCAAGTCCCACTGCAATAAATGTTCCACTTGCACGGTTATTTAGTTGAACACTGCCCTAGGTGTCTAATACTAGTACAGTGGTACCTCTGGTTAGGAACTTAATTCGTTCAGGAGGTCCGTTCTTAACCTGAAACCGTTCTTAACCTGAGGTACCACTTTAACGAATGGGGCCTCCCGCTGCCGCATGATTTCTGTTCTCATCCTGAGGTAAAGTTCTTAGCCCGAGGTACTACTTCCGGGTTAGCGGAGTCTGTAACACGAAGTGTTTGTAACCTGAGGTGTTTGTAACCTGAGGTACCACTGTATACTTAAAAATCTTCTGTAGTACTGTTTGATTTGAAGAAGCGAGCACAAAAGGAAAATGTGTAAGAGAAGCAGATCTTTTCAAATGAGCAACTGGGAAAACCCAGAGTTCTCTTCCTTTGGGGGAAGCTGGGGGAATTACTCTTCTTAATTGTCCATGTGAATCATTGTTACAGAAAGCTCTCAAAGTCTAGTGGTTTGAGAGCCTTCATCAGTGAAGAAAGACACATCAGAGCTGGCCCTAAGCTCAGATAGCCAAATAGCTAAGGGGACCGATTGGGTTTCTAACATGTCTCTACTAGGCAAGCTTTGGAGAAGATTATTCTTATAATTGGGCAATGTGCTATTTGTAGCAAAGCCCCACAATACATCATCTTTCCATTTAAATTGTACCCTCGGTGCCTTACTTTCCCCAGGGTTGGCAGAAAATCTGAAGAGATCAGTGTCAAGCCCTTTACAAGACATTTAGGGAAAGAGCTTGAAAAGGGGTGTTTTAGACTATGTTTTCTGTATTCACAAAAAAGCTCAGGAAACAAATGAAATGATGCTTGTGGAAATTGATTTTGTTTGGCACAAACATATACTAGCTGCGGGAAAACTGAACGATGTGGTTTAAAGCAATCTTTAGGTTTCCGATCGCAGTATCCAACAGAGGGCTCTGCCAGATTGTCTTGTTTATTGAGCATTCATCTTGTCTGGGTGGTGGTTTTAGGATGTCGCCCAACACTGCCATTATCCAATGCATTTTCCTGTCACTTTCCTTGCCACAAAAACTCCACTTCTTTTGGAAGTGGCTTTGTTGCGCAAGACCATCAACTCCACTTTGTATGAATGAATGATAGTGTGATGGTCTAGAAGCAGCCGGACTCAACAGGAAAATCTCTCATTAATGTCTTTCAGTAAGAGGGGAACCAAAGCATAGGGGTGGGGGGTACCACAGCTCAGCAGTAGAGCTCTGGCTTTGCATTCAGAAAGTCACAGGTTCAATCCCCGGTGTAATGTACTGAAGTTCTCACCCTGGGCCAGCAGGGGGATACTGTAGATAGTTTTCACTCAGGTCCACGTCAGTTATTTTAGGCGGGAAACCCTGGGTTGTTGTTGCTACAATGTTGACAGCTGGCTGCCTATAAAAGCAGGCCGGCTGAGCTCTTTGCTGTTCAGTTTCTGTTCCAGCTTACAAAATAAAGAGCTGCTTTGGAGAAATCGCTGTGTCGTCTGCCATGTCTACCCACTATTTAACACCCGGGATCTCCAGTTTAAAACTGGGTCAGGTGGCAGCCAATGTGAAAGACCTCTGCTTCAGGTAGTGGACAGCCAATGCAACTCAAAGTTACCAATACGGGGCTATACAGAAAATAGTCGGACCTGCTTTATAAGGCAGTTCCCTACATTTCCATCTTTCTACTCACCATCTTGTACATTTCAAGATTCTCTCAAGGTCATGCAAGTATTTGTGAACTCTGGGGGAAGATTAAGTACCTCGTATGCTTAAAAGGATGCTAGAATCCATTCCAAATGATCTTGGCCCAGGACTAAGTTGTACAAACAGACCACATCTGTTTTCAGCAAAAGATTATCAGGAAATAAAAAGGAAAGACTGAAAAGGAGAAGAAACTCTAAAAATTCAGATTGCAAACAATCCAGACCTTCATTTTTTTGGGGAGGGGGGACTTTCCAGCTCTCCCCATCCTACTTATTTTTATTAAGAAATTCAAAACAAACATGGATCAAAGTGGAAAAGGTTCTCAGATGATCAGATGGCCCCTCTCCATTTGGTCAAGCAGCTGAATCAAACTTGAACTGAAGGGACAGGATACCCAAATCCTGTCTGAAATCACCCCAGGCTTCAATAATCACACCAGGCCTCAAAACTGTCCAAAATTCCTTTTGTCTTCTAAAAATCCAAAACAGCTTTCCCCTGCTCTTCTCTGCTTTTCTCACAAGATGCTGTGCATAGGCAAAATGTTACTTTTAAAGGCTAATGAATAGGCTCTGTTCAAAGCAGGCCTGAGAAACGAATCTTATCTCTTTCGGTTGCAACATCTTGGACATGCTGAACCACCAGGGCTCCTCAACCCCTTGGCTCTCACTCCCCTTTCCTGGGAAGGGTGCCAAGAGTCCACAATAGTCCCAAGACAGCTTTCTGTTCATGCTAAGAGGAACTCATGGGCAGGATTTTGGAAGAAGGAGGAGAAAGGGGGAGGGAACTGGAAGACTGTGAATCCGTGCATGCTTTTTGTGAGTTATCACACTTGCTCCTTCTACCAGTTCATGGATGGTAGAAATAAAGCTTTTTCTCTGAAACTATTCCTTGAGTGTCTGTTGACTCCCACTTCCCTTTCCCGGGCGCAATATTTTTCCCACCCGAGGGCAAAGCCTCAAAAGGCTACAGAACCACAATGGAGGCCAGTTGTTCAGTTGAGGGGGCACCGGGCAAGCTGCCTGTCGCACACATCTCTGTCCTCCAACACCCTGCATCA